AGTAGAGAGCAGGTTTGAACTATTACAGTCTGTCAGCAGGATAACTTTCCTAACACAGAACAAAACAAGACCTTATTTTGTACAGCAGAAGTCAACAAAAGAAAATTGGGCCACATCTGGTTTTAAGATGTATTTCTTTTTATTCATTATTTGACCTGTAGCCTAAATTGGGCCATTATGATAAACCATTTGGCGCCCTTAAGACTTGGTTATTCCAGCTTGCAGGACTGGCCTAGGGTAATTTTTAGAGGGGTTTTAATTATATTTTAATTGGACTACGTTTAAATATTTCTTTTTAATTAATTTTAATTCTGTAATTGTTATTTATGTATTTTTAATCGATTGTCAGCCGCCCTGAGTCCGCAAGGAGAAGGGCGGGATATAAATTTAANTCAGAGATAATCCAAAGACATATTGAATAATTGTATTGGATAATAGCCAAGTGGTAAAACTGAGATATAAGCCGAGATGGGTGAAAACAGAAATTTGACAGATCTGATAGAGTAAAACTTCAATTGTAGAAGTATGATAAAAGTAAGTTGTTGAAGTAATATATGATATAGATAAATTAGAATAATACTGTATGAATAAATACTTTAAAATAATGGAAATTACTTTGATATATTCTACTCAAATGAATGACCAGGAGTTGCATAAACATTTTTTTAATGTTTGCAAACAACCTACATTAATACAAAGTACACTGCATTCAAATTAGCCCAGATGATCTTGAAGTAATATTGATTCCATATATCTTTCTAGTTTATTTTGGAACTTTGTATAAGTTGTCTCAATATAATAACTTAAACAGAGCTTTATTTAATTTTACTAATATATATACGTGTTCAGATATCAATATCAATCCAATTATTAATATGGTAGTTCTCCGATTCTTAATATAACTCTCCAGATCAGAATCCATTCGTAGGAACTGTTGTCTGGTTGAAAGCCTAGTATTCTTTTATAGGTTTGTTGTAGTCATGCTGATTTTATTTTATCTTATTCTAAATAATCAAAACCAAGAATAAATATGATAAGATAAAATCTAGGATGCATTGGGTTTTTTCCCCTGAATTCTTTCCCCTGCAGTTGCCAACTAGATTCAAGCCATTTTCTAACTTGATTGTTTTTTGTTGTTGTTAGCTTTTGCTGTCACACCAAATTCTGCTGACAGAAAGACAGATGGACAGAGCCCAAAATCCATTTACATAATTTCTTTCTGAAGGTCCATTGGTCTGGAAAAAAATTAAAAGGAGTAGAAAGCAGGTTTAAACTATTACAGTCTGTCAGCAGGATAACTTTCCTAACACAGAACAAAACAAGACCTTATTTTGTACAGTAGAAGTCAACAAAAGAAAATTGGGCCACGTCTGGTTTTAAGATGTATTTCTTTTTATTCATTATTTGACCTGTAGCCTAAATTGGGCCGTTATGATAAACCATTTGGCATATCATTTAAACAATGTCATAATAAGTCCAAGAATGAAAATGAGAAGTTTTCTTAAATATTTTAGAGAATTAGTTTGGGGATAATCATGAGAATATGAAATAACAGAACAGGTAATTAAACCAAGTGAATGTCTGTTCAGTTAGGAATTCAAATTAAATCTGCTTGAACACATGCAATAAAAGAAAGTTGACTATCTCTGCGAGTACAGTAATTAGTTCCACTGCTGAACTGCTCTTATGGAACATATTTTTTTCTAACATATTCAATAGGAATATGCTGGTGGAAACTGCTAGATAGAATTTAGTGTGTGAGCCTAGGTAAACTTGAATTGGATGAACAATTTCAATTTTGTTTCATACATTTTGGTCAAAAGAATTTCAGGTTCTTTCAGAAATCTCTCAAATTAATTTTCAAGTACATTTTTCAGGTTAGTAAATACGGATAAATAAATATTTAGCATTATTTGGAATAAAAGTTTTAAAAAGATATAATAAAAAGAAACCGACTGTGGTGTTCCCAGTTGGTATAGGCCTACTGAGTCCCATACAAAAAAATCTTGATATAATCTTAGTAAAGATTGTGCAGCATCTTAGAACTCTTAGAAAATTTGCACATTGACAAAATTTCCATTAGTCAATTGCAAAATGCCATGATGCTTGGATACATATATATACTACACTGATACATTATGATATCCTAGGTTCTTGGGATGAACTTGAGGCTAACATCAACTAAAGAACTCTTAGCTGTGACTTCACATTGTTGTGAACAGATAATAATTTATTAAATTTGTATGACAGCTTCTAAAAGAACCTGACTGAGTCTTGACAGTTCAGAACAATCAAAGAAATTACAGTAAAATCGATATAATATAAAAAATAAAAGACAGCAAGTGCAATGAAATTAGCAATATCACTCTCCCTCGCCAAAGACCTGGGCTAGGAGCCAGGTTTTTATGCCTCTTCTAAACAAAAGCAGATTGGGGTCCATCTGAATCTTGTTCCAAATAGCAGGTAATGTTGCAGAAAAGGTGTGCTTCTGGGTCTTGAGAACTGATGTTGTCTCATAAAAAAAACCAGAGTAAACCCAGAATCAGCTGGAAAGATGTTATGTGAGACAGATGATTCTGGGAACTAGAATGGTCACCCAACAATCAGGGAAATCTAGGAGTTTAAGTTCAGATAAATCAATTTTAAGGATTTTGAAAACATTTTCATGGAAACTGCTGATGTTTTCATTTTCCAGTAACATTATACTTAAGATATTTTTACAAGCACGTTTAAAAGAATATAAACTTTTAAACTTGGAATGGTATTTTTCCCTTATTCTTTTAATAAATAATGTAGTTTTTAAAAAAATAAAAAGAAAAAACATGCTTTAAATAGTTCAAAAATGTCTGGTGATGTGCATTTTGCAGAAAACAATACTGTAACAAATCATTAATCAACTAAGTACTATAATCCTCCTTATCGGGTAATACTTACTTGACCTCCAGCTATATACAGCACATCACAACAGTATTAGGCTGTAGCTCCTACCTCATGTTCTTTGTAACTTTTCTTCTAGATCACAATTCAGATTAGAGACTAGCTATTTTAAAAACCTGTTCCCTTCAAATATTCATTAATTTGTATTTAAGGTCGGGAACCTATATGAAAAGGCTATTTTGGGCTCCTAAAACAAATGAAATTGTATATGGTATCCTCAAATCTATCAGGATTTAGTGAAGCTATAGGATGCCCAGAAACTGATACTCCTGATTTCCCAGATGTGCAGTGGCTGATCAACAGGTAAAGAAAGACCTTTGTATATTACTATGAAACTAATAAAATCTTGTATAATCAGAGAAGAATTTTGAAGGAAACAATATGTTAAAAAGAAATGTAAGCCTAACTGTTTTATATTTTAGCAAGTATATTCACCGAATTCATGATTTTAAAGAGTGTTACTGTGACCTGTTTGTTTATCGACTTTACAGTTGGAATTTTGAAATACAATTGATATTTGGCTAATAGAAACAGCATACTGTATTTAAAATATGATTTGGTTTCCTTGTATTGTACTTAATAAATGCTAAGAAAAGGATGCCTAGTAGAATACTTTCTTTTCTAAGAAATAATTAAAAATGGATTCAAATTTATATGCTTAGAGTATAAGTCTTATTATATTACAAATGATATCTGAAATTTCAGTGGGTCTATTTGAAATGTGGCTAAGTTGGTATTCAATTCCCTTTTCTCATTTTATCAATTAGTATATTCCATTACAAACTCTTTTTATATAATGAGAAGTTGATAATTTAGATGAGATCCTTGTAATATTTTTTCCTTTGAAACAAAGTACCTTATTATCCTAGGTTGCATTTTGAAAACAAGCGGGCATGATGTAAATAATAATAATAATATAATATTTTTGTAAAATGTAGTTTACAAAAAATTCAAGAGATTAATGAGATGGATTACATTTAATAGAGATCACTGTATAGTTCCAGTATGATTTTAATTAGATTTAAACGTAGTACGTTTTAAGGACTAAAGTTTTCATACCTGCTTTTGTGGTTGGTCATTATCATTAGTTTCATGCACATCAGCTTCTTAGTTTCAGTTTATTTATTTTGAAAGGTAATGTGAAAATACTTGACATTTATATTAGTTAGCAGATTTATGCTTTGAATTCTTTTTTTTCTTTCACAAAATGAGTGAAAAACAGTAATTAAGTATACGGTAGTTGGAATTTTCCAAAACCTATTTGTATTTATTCAATTTTCTTTGTGTTATTTTATTGCATCTGGTATTAATCTGAGGCATTTTTGTTGGTAATATATTAGTAAATATTTAGAATGTAAAAATGTTTTCATGGTTATTATCTTGGTAAACTTTGTACAGAGGTCCTATAAGACATAGAAGGTAAGAGGTTAAGTCTACTACCGAGAGTTAGTAACATTAATATAGCAAGTTAGAAGATATTTTATGTTGCATGCAAATGCATTAAAAATTATACTTGGGAAAGATACAATTTGATAAAGGCAAATTATGTGGAGGAAAGACTGCGTAACTTATGCAGAATTCTATATAGGTTAACATATATGTATAATCAGTGCTTTTTTTGTAAAAAAAAAAAAAAAGCTGCCAGAACTCACACATGTCATACAACCCGCCTTGACTACCCTACAAGGTTCCATCCAAAAAAGGTGCCGGAACTCCGTTCTGGGCGTTCTATGAGAAAAAAAAGCCCTGTGTATAACAATGCACATTATCTCTATTCATTGTGGATGTAAATAATGACATTTGAATCTCTGCTGTCTATACTTTGAATACTATATTTTATAACAAGTATTGCAAAATTGTATAAAGCTGGCATACACAGTCCTTAAGTATTTGACTTTGTAGAACTTAAAATAACATTCATCTATTAGAGTTGTTATGAATAGTTAGGTTATGTAAAGAAAGCAACACATTATTGTAGCTCAGTCATTTGGAATAAATAATTTCTGAATTAATTTGTAATATATACATTTTTAGTAATTTTTCTTTTCTTTTTAACTGCTTAGAAAAAGAAGCCCATCAATACCCAGGGATCAGAACAGAAGTTTCAATCAGCTGGAGGAGAGAGACGACTATTCACAGTATGCAACATCAGATGCTGCAATGCCAAGATCACCATCAGATTATACAGACAGACATTCACAACATGGGTTGCAACCATATGAAGAACCTGAAATTGATGACTATAGGAATTCTAGTAGGAGAAATCGCAGACGTTCAAGGGAATATCCTTTAGAGGAAGATGACATGCAAAATAGAGGGGAATATGAAAGGCAGCGGAGGGAAGAAGAATATCAAGCACGATACCGAAGTGATCCTAATTTGGCTCGTTATCCTGTCAAACCACAACCATATGAAGAGCAAATGCGTATTCATGCTGAGGTCTCACGTGCACGTCATGAAAGAAGGCACAGTGATGTGTCTTTGGCCAATACTGAATTGGAAGATTCCCGGATTTCGATGATGAGAATGGACCGACCATCAAGGCAAAGGTCTGCATCTGAACGCAGAGCTGCCATGGACCAGCGTTCATATTCAATGGAAAGAACTCAGGGACTAAGTCCCAATCGGCAGAGATCCGCAAATCACAGTCCTCCAACACCTAGGAGGAGTCCAATACCTTTTGATAGACCAGATATGAGGAGAACTGATCCATTAAGAAAACAGCATCATTTAGACCCAAGCTCAGCTGTACGGAAGACAAAACGTGAAAAAATGGAAACCATGTTAAGAAATGATTCCTTGAGTTCAGATCAGTCTGAATCAATTAGGCCTCCACCACCAAAGCCTCATAAAACAAAAAAAGGAGGTAAAATGCGTCAGGTGTCATTGAGCAGCTCTGAAGAAGAGTTGGCTTCTACACCAGAATATACAAGCTGTGATGATGTAGAAATTGAAAGTGAAAGTGTTAGTGAAAAAGGTAAGGCCTTTTTTTCTGTTTGCCCTTTAAGTAGATGGCAATTTATTTTAGGTGGGGTATTTGAAATTACAATAGAAGTAAACTGTCACAACTGAGGTTAGGTTCTTCATGCTGATGTTTTAAAATGTGGTTTTGTCTAATTTCAGTAGAGCTTTACAAATGAATTTTGGGTATCTTCTCTTTTTTAAAAGTTTTAAATCTACATAAATCCAGTATTTGATAGAACATTTTTGTTTTTAATTGCTTTTTATAAACATGGTTGAATGAAATTATAGATTAGCTCTTACATTTCTGACTAACTGGGCATCCTAGTTTAAAACCAAACACAGGGAACCAGCTGGAGTAAGTGGATAGCATTGAATTGTGTCAATTGTGTCAAGATAACATACTTCTTAGAGGCTGTTTATTGGTTTCTTGAGTGCTCTCACATACATATAAAACACAAAAAACTATTATTTTTATTATGGCAAAAATCCCAATTTCTATATTATGGTATATTATTTTTGTATTATTCTGTTTTATGGTGGATCTTATAGCAACATCAGGAAGATCAATTTAAATCAATAAAATAGAATTAGGGAAAGGCTTAAACACCTTTCCTACATTAATATTCATGTCTTGATACAGTTCAACCTAACCCCAGGGGCAGCTTTAAGTTTTAAAAATCAAGAGAGTTAATTACCCCCATGTTATATGTAATTAAAACAGTGCAATAAAAAAACCAACTTTTAATTTTAAAAAATCTACTATTCTTTGTTCATTAATAATTGATAAGAATTGGCTAAAATTAGTGAAGTTGACAGATTTAAAGTAATGAACTAAAGATATTGATAATTCTAGATTTCATCTGTCTGGGTAGGAAATTATATGCTTTTAAATGTGACATTTGAATGCAATGATATCAAAGTGTTCCAGGGTAAGTGAAGTGTTTATAAAAAGTGAAATTCTGTAACATAGTATATTAGAATATAGCATAGTAAATTTAATTTGTGTTGTTTCCCCCCCACTAAACCGCATATTATTAATATTCTTAAATTATTACACTTTGAGTTTTTACATGCAAATAATCTGGGAAAATTGGTTCTTTGATTCTTAACAATGTACTGTAATTGGATGTCTTTTTCTTTCCTGTCAAGCTTTAACTATTATAAAGATTTAAACTTCCACAACTATGGAGTTAAATAATTAAAACCAAAACATTTACGCTCTATTTAAGAGTTGTATCGCTAGATTTATGTTTTATATTTATATCAGGAATCTAAATATGTTTACTTGAAAATAAAAAAATATTTATCTCCTTGAGGTGTTCTTTGGACTGCAACATTTACCTTACAATGATATTTCTGTGTTGCTGTTTTGAAGAAATATATTTGTGGTATAAAGGAAAAAAGAGCTAAAATCTGAATTTTTATAAATTATAAACGTTGCTACTCTAAGAGCACACATACATTTTTTCCTCATGAACAAGCTCAGAATGTACAATGGAAAGTCACTTCTGGTGAGAAATAGTGAACTGATATTCCATGAAGAGCAGGAGACATTACAGTTGAAAACAGCAGTTGTATGCAGGATCTGGACTGCTGAAGCCTCTCTGGAGAAAGGAGAGATCTAGAAATCACCCATATGTACTTTAAACAGCTGGGTTTTTTTTTTTTAGTAAATAGGAAATGAGTTTTTTGTGATCAGCTCTCAAACAGCTGAGATTCATAGAATTCCATCAAGCTTATAGCCTTCAATATAGCCTACAATGGACTTTAAGTTCAACCAAATCTCACAATTACTTTGTATTTAATTTTTTTTACTGTTCTATAAAGATTGAGAAATTTCAGAATTACAGGTTTTATTGTATTCATTGTGTAAGCCTTTAATCCTTTAAGAAAAAAGGTTTTAATTACTTAATTACTAGTTTAAGGTTTTGAAAAAGAAAAAAAAATGGAATATTCTGCAAAATGGTGATTGGAATGTTGATTTTAGAAATCTTAAAATGGACTAAGGGCTCAGATAGAGTTGAATTAAGACTTGAAAATTAATTAAATCCTTCCTGTGAGAAACTTCCCATGTTTACACTTGGGAGCAAAAATAACTTAATAAGATAACTAGAAGGCACCAGAAGGAAACAAATACATCTGTGGATCCAATGAAAAAGAACAATTATTGGATTCAGAAAATAATTTTAAAGACATCTGCTATTATAGATATATTGGATGGTGTCATAGAAGAGGAACAAGCTTCATTAGATAAGCTGAAATTGATTTCAATGTGAATTTAAAACAGAAAGAGGAAATATTGGATACACAAATGAAACCAGCTGATGTTCTAACAAAAAGACACACATACTAAATCAGAAGAGTAATGTGGAGAACCTTTTTATATGGATTTTATCAAGGGGCTTGATTTTGTGAGAAGAGACAATGAGAATATGACGAGTGACTTGGATATTTTCTTTATGGTGGATATTCAAAAGGATCTTGCTAAAGTTGTCAATGACTTTGAGAGAAGAAACAAAGTGGGGTATTAAAAATGTCAGAAGAAAAAGGAAAGAATACAAAGTTAATTTATTAGATCAAGGTTAAAATTGATGGACTGTTATTTCCATTAAGGTTTAATGGGTTTTTTTTTGTTGACTAGCTCTGGATGATTATGTTTTAAAGGTATTGATTATCTTTAAGAGATAAAGAGACAATGTTGCATTTTAAGTATCCGTGTTTAATAAATGCAAAAAAAGGATTTAAAGTGGGTTTATTAGATATAGAGTGTAATAGTTATGTTGTTGTTTCTGATAACCCTTAATGAACTTCTGCTGATCAAGATGGAGTGATACTTTAATGATCTATTTGAGGAGAATGGGTGGTATTTGGAATGAAGAGATGGCTTGTTTTATTTTAAGAAACTGATGAGTTGTTAATGTTAATTATAGTTGCTGGTGATGAAGGGATAGGTTTCTTCTTTCTTTTTCTTTTTTTCTGCACCTTTTATTTTTATTTTTCATTTTCATTTTTTTTATAGTTTGTACATTTTTTCTATATAATCTTTAATAAAATTATTGTGTAAAAAAGAATGTGTCTTTTTATTTTTAATCCTTCTTTTGGGTCTTTTAGCATTAGGACCTTCTATATTAGTTGAGATTTATGGACAAGATATGAAAAATAAAAGAGAAGAAGGGACTGAAATTCTGTGCCACGTGCTCATCACATCATGCTTTTGAATATTTCTCAGATTGTAGTACAACAAACATAGATAGAATACAATCTCTGTAGGCATTCATTCCAATCATAATGGCCCTTCATATTGTTGCTGGGATTGTGTTGGGAAAAGGACTCATTCAAATAGACCAGGGGTCTCCAAACTTGGCCCTTTTATGACTTGTGGATTTCAACTCCCAGAATTCCTCAGCCAGCGTGCCTGGCTGAGGAATTCTGGGAGTTGAAGTCCAGAAGTCATAAAAGGGCCAAGTTTGGAGATCCCTGAAATAGACTAAGTCTGACCTAAATCTCTAAAATCTAAATGTATCTTCTGCTGAATCAAAAGATACCCACAATGGTATCACTGATAAAATGTAGAAGTTAAATAAAGTGATTGAAAAAAAATCAGCCCAGAGAAGTTGTAAATGTCAAATTTACCCTTCCAAAGTTATTTATTTATGTGTGAAATACAGGTAGTTCTTGACCTCTGACCATTTGGTCAGTGATTGTTCAAAGCTACAAGTTATAAGGGGTCCTTTGAGTTCAAGCTTTCAAAGTATTCCTGTGGTCATGTGATCACAATCTGAGTGCTTGTCCACCCGTTTGCCCTTAAAACCTGTTGTCAAGTGTCGAGGAATCACATCATGGCCATTTGCAACCTACCCTACCAGCTTCTCCAGAAAGTTAGTTGGGAAGCCGGAAAGGATATTACAGGTCATAGGGGTAAGCCTTCCCCACCTGTGTAACCTCCCGACACCCCTCAGCATTTGTGCCATGATGTCTATTTCCCTGATTCATGCAGCGCTCTTGTAAACGCTCTGTGATTTACGTGGTGCCTCTTTTACACACTCTTGGACCTTTCTTTACTCCCTTGCACACCCTCACTGACTCTTCTCCCACACCCCCATGCCCCCATATATCTGCCTGCAGGCCTGGAATTTATAACCCTAACCCTTTCCCTAGTGATTTTGGTTGTAGGGAGTCAGCAGGAAGTTGCCTTGCCTAACGGCCATGGGATTCAATTAACAACAGCAACTATGACTGCATGGATTGCTTTAAAGCGCTCCATGGCATTGGACCTGGCTATCTCCGAGACCGCCTTCTGCCACAGATTCCCTCCCATAGACCGGTACGCTCCCACAGAGTGGGTCTCCTCAGGGTGCTGTCGGCGAAGCAATGTCGGCTGGCGACCCCCAGGGGGAGGGCCTTCTCTGTGGGTGCCCCCACCCTCTGGAACGAACTACCCCCCGAGATCCGGATGATTCCGGATCTCCTTACTTTCCGCCGCACTCAAGACATGGCTTTTTCAGCAAGCGGGCCTGGCCTAGGGAGGATTTTAAACCGGGTTTTTTTAAGAATAATTTTAACTGCACAACTTTAAATATTGGTTTAATTTGGTTTTATCTGGTGGGGGTTGTAAACATGTCTATGTTTTTAAATATGTTGTGAGCCGCCCTGAGTCCCGTCGGGAGAAGGGCGGGATATAAATCAAAACAAATAAATAAATAAATAAATAAATACTAAGTGATGTGGTCACACTTTGCAAGCATATTGCTTAGCAATGGAAATTCCAGTCCCAGTTGTTGTTTCAAGGACTAGTCCGGGGGTAGGCAACCTTGGCTTTTTTTATGACTCGTGGACTTCAACTCCCAGAATTCCTGAGCCAGCATGGCTGGCTCAGGAATTCTGGGAGTTGAAGTCCACGAGTCATAAAAGAGCCAAGGTTGCCTACCCCTGGACTAGGCTATCTGAACATTTATACCTTTAACACTCTGTGTTTAAATGATAGCATACGTATGCATTATTATTATGTTTTTA